GCTGATTCGCCAACGCTTCCCCGAGCTTGTCTCCCCTCCCGTCCACCCCGAGAGGAGGGGGTCAGAGGAGGAAACGGTACCCATACCTCTACCCTTCCCTCGTCTTCTCCCCCCTTTTGGGCGTCGCCGCGGCTGGATTCGCTTCGAAATCTTGGTCCGAACGCATCCCGGGAGATGTCCGGGGAGTAGCGGTACTCGGCATCGCTCCGACGTGTGCATTTTTCCTTCGGCGAGGACCATCGAGGAGCATCCTTGATCATTTGGTGAAAAAACCACGCACGAAACCGAAAAAAGCACACGGCATGGGCGTCCGAGCGATGGCGAGGGTACCGGTGTACCTTTTGGTCTCCCCGGGGGGGGGGGGGAGGGAGGGGGAGGAGGAGCCTGCAGAGGGAGACCGAGGCCGTGAGGCCTCGGAGCGTCGCTGCGGTCTATTCTGGGCCCCCGGGCGCCACTCGGGATCTCCAGCTGATCCCGGGGTCTCCCTGGAGACCTCCAGAGACGGGGGATGCGTTCAATCGGGCCTGTCCCTCTACAGGGGGGATGTTCAGAAATAGTCAAAATATAGCACCCCGCAATTGCGGATAAGAGTGAGGGGGCGGGCGCGGGCGACGCGAACGTCGTCGAGCCGGCGGACCTCGTGGCCCCACCTTCCCTGTCGATGGCGCTCTCCTCCTCGTCCTCCTCGTCGTCCTCCTCCACCTCCTCCTCCTCCTCTTCCTCGTCCTCGTCCTCGTCGTCATCGACATCCTCCTCCTCCACCTCGTCCTCCTGTTCTTCCTCGTCCTCCCTCTCCCCCCCTCGTCCTTCCATCATCGTCCTCCCATTGTCGTCCACCCCCTCATCGGCCTCCATCATCGTCCTCCCATTGTCGTCCATCATCATCATCCCCCCCTCCTCCCCCTCCTCGCCCTCCTCATCCCCCCCCCTCCCCCTCCTCGTCCTCCTGCTGCTCCTCCTCCTCCTCCTCCTCCTCTTTCTCCACATTCTCCTTACATCCTCTCTTCTTTCGCGTCCTCCTCGTCCCCTGTTTACTCCTCCTCCCTCCCCTACTTTCCCGAGATAACGGCAACGCAATCTTTTTTCCCACTTTATGCTCCCCGACTCCTCTGATCAAGGCAACTCGCCAGGGCAAGGTTGCTGGACGGGCTGGTGTGGATGCGCGGGGCTTGAAGAGGTCGTTGCGGGCGCAGACGGCATGCAACAATCCGCCGCCGCGCTTGTGCGGCATTGGTTTGTTCAGTGACCGTGGTTTGGGTCGCGGGTGGGTCGCGGGCTCTCCACCTCCACCTGGAAGGAATGCAAAAGCAGCCCGCCGCAGGCGCCGAACAAAATGGTTTGTACACTGAACGTGGAATGGGGCGCGGGTGGACCGCGGGTTCTCCACTGGGGACGAATGCAAACGATGCCCGCCGCAGGCGCAGAAAAAAATGACATGTACCCTGATCGTGGTCGCGGGTGGGCTTCGGGCTCTCCACCTGGAACGAATGCAAAAAATGCCCGCCGCAGGCGCCGAAAAATGCGGCTCGTACCCTGAACGTGGTTTGGGTCGCGGGTTGGTCGCGAGTTGGTCGCGGGGTGGGTCGCGGGCTCTCCACCTGGAAGGGATGCAAAAAAAGCCCGCCGCAGGCGCCGAAAATGGTGGTTTGTACCTTGAACGCGGTTTGGGTCGAAGGTGAGTCGCGGGTGGGTTGCGGGGCGGGTCGCGGGTGGGTCGCGGGTGGGTCGCGGGTGGGTCGCGGGTGGGTCGCGGGTGGGTCGCGGGGTGGGCCGCGGGCGGGTCGCGGGGTGGGTCGCGGGTGGGTCGCGGGTGGGTCGCGGGTGGGTCGCGGGGTGGGTCGTGGGGTGGGTCGCGGGGTGGGTCGCGGGTGGGTCGCGGGTGGGTCGCGGGTGGGTCGCGGGGTGGGTCGCGGGGTGGGTCGCGGGGTGGGTCGCGGGTGGGTCGCGGGTGGGTCGCGGGTGGGTCGCGGGTGGGTCGCGGGGTGGGTCGCGGGTGGGTCGCGGGGCGGGTTGCGGGTGGGACGACGACAACAAACAACAACAACAAACAACAACAACAACAACAACAACAACAACAACAACAACAACAACAACAACAACAACAACAACAATCACTTTACCCGAACGCTCAGTGTTCTCACCAGTGCCAGGGTTTTCATGCGACGCCAGCCAATACCCCCACTTTGTGGGGGGGCAGTGCAAGCTCTACCAAATATCCACACGACTCTTCGCCACCACCCACACCCAGTTTCCCGCCCTATGACGTTCGGACACTTCACTTCGTGGCCTGCGGACGACCGTGGCTACTACACTGGCGTGGAGTACACACCCACAGAAGTTGTTAGGACAGCGCGCGCGGGTAGAAATTTTGAAAAGTCGTGCAGGTGTTTTTCGAGGACCTACGGTGCGATTCGTGTGATTTTATGATGCGCGGTGCTAAAATTCTTAAGAAGCCCAATGGTTTTTGGAGATTTCGGCGTGCGCGCGCGAAGAAAAAACGAATGTGTCCCGCATGGTATTATTTGACAGGGATGATGGCCCTGGCAGGTGCGCAACCGTTGTCGCAGAAGTTCGAAAAAGTTGCTCGCAAAAGCCCGTTTGACAGAAATGTTTAAAAAGTGTTGGGTTTCCTACGAATCCGCAAGAGCGCGCGGGATGAGATTTTGACATTTTTTTGTTGAAAAACCATTGGTTTTTTGATGTTTTTATGTTAAAATCGCTCCGAACACTAAGCTTTTGGAAGGATTTCGTCTTGCGCGCGCGAATGTCCACTTTACCTTATTTTTTGCAAGGATTCTTGAAATTTGATTATATTAGAACAAGAAATGTCATTTTATAGTGTTTTTTGCAAGGGAAAACGGATTACAACAAAACAACCGGATCTTGATCACCTCGAATTACCTGAGGCTTCCTCACGAAAATGATGAAAACGTGGCTGCGGCCTAGGCGCGGCGGGGGGGGCGCGCACCAGGGGGCCCAACAATAATTATTCTTTAGAATTAATAATGTTCAACGAGAATCCGCACCGCGAAATCCCACTTCAGCCACGCACCCAGGGACAGTGAATGACCGTTCGGCCCCCTCACTCTGACATAGTCTGGGGACGATCGTTTTTTTGGGGGGGGACTGTTTTGACGATCTTTCCTTTTTCGTCCAAAATCCGCCTGTATGAGGACATGCCCGACCTAAGCCTAGGGTCACTCTTGCGCGACGCCGACTTCGAGGACTCCCGGATGCGCTCGGAGGCCTCTCGGAGGCCTCTCCGGTAGGCTGCCAAGGTCGTTGGCCTCCTGATGTGGGTGCTGTGCCTCCACCCGTCGCTGCGCTCGTCCGTCTGTGTCTTCCGCGTCTCTTCCTCCGCCGCCACCGCCGCCGCCGCCGCCGCCGCCGTCGTCGTCGTCGTCGTCGTCGTCGTCGTCGTCGTCGTCGTCGTCGTCGTCGTCGTCGTCGTCAGCGTCGTCGTCGTCGTCGCGCCTCTTCCTCCTCCGCCCCGCCAGCCCTCTGCTCCGCCCAGAAGGGTCCGCCCCGAGGCCAGCGGGAGCAACTCCGCCCTACAGGAGCACCCTTTTACACCAACAGATGCTCAGATCGCAGTTTTAGGCCGTCGCAAGGATGATGCGTCGTCTTCTTTGCCGAGGGTACCAGGTGCTCGATTTGGAGTTTGAGATCGTGCACAGTGGTTTCGGCCTGATCCGATCCGGCATCCCTCTTCCTTGAATTTAACGTACTCTCCCTCGTCGCGCCAGCAGGTGTGTCAGTATGGTGGGAGTGGCGTCTCGCGAGAGAGAGACTCTGTCAACTCAATCTGCCGAAGCTTGAGGCGCCCGACGCCCGCACGTGTTTTCTCAGCACTGCGCTCTGGCGAGGGACTTCCTCGCAAACTGTGGTCGTGAAGGCCAGGACGCCCAGCAGCTACGGTAGGCTCGTGTCGTATCGACCGGCGGCGACCTCGCCAGCGGCATTCAACGTTGAACGCCGCGGGCGTCCCAGAATCGCTTGATGTGAAACGATGTGGACGTTTCGGAAACGGCTGATCGTTCAAGGTTGAACGATCCCCGCTCTGTCGGAAACCAACGCTGGGGTCGGCACGCCGCGAGCCTGCCGTGCACAGATGGAGGGCGGTTCGTGTTCGAAGTCGCGCCTTCGCCTGCGATTTGTTGCTGCTCCTGCGGAACGGCTAGGACTCGATTCACATTCCGGACACCCGCAAGGAGGTCCGAAAGCCTCGCGAGGAACTTCGCAAACCTTTGAATTCTTCGTCGTCGTCTTCGTCGTCGTCGTGGTCGTCATCGTCGTCGTCGTCGTCGTCGTCGACATTTTTGTCGTCATCGTGGTCGCCCACGCCGCCTGCCGACGCCGCCGTCTATGTCGCCGCCGCCGCCGTCGTCGTCGCCGTCGCCACCGTCGCCATCGCCGTCGCCGCTGCCGTCGCCGTCGGCGTCGTCGTCATCGTCGCCGCCGTCGTCGGCGTCGTCGTCGTCGCCATCATCGCCGTCGCCGTCGCCATTTCCGTCGCCGTTGCCGTCGCCGTCGCCGTCGCCGCCGTCGTCGTCGTCGTCGTCGTCGTCGCTGTCGTCGTCGTCGTCACCGTCGTTCTCGTCGTCGTTCCCGTCGTCGTCGCCGCCGTCGTTGTCGCCGTCGCCGCCGCCGCCGCCGTCGCCATTGCCGCCGCCGCCGCCGTCGTCGTCGTGGTCGCCGTCGTCCTCATCGTCGTCGTCGTTGTCGTCGTCGTCGTGGATGTTGCTGTTGTTGTTGTTGCTGTTGTTGTTGCTGTTGTTGTTATGGTTCTTGTTGTTCTTGTTGTTCTTGTTGTTGTTGTTGTTGATGTTGCTGTTGTTGTTGTTCTTGTTGTTGCTGGTGTTGTTGTTATTGTTGGCGGTGTCGTCGTTGTTGTCGTCGTCGTCGCCGATGTCGTCGTCGTCGTCCTCCTTCTCGTCCTTGTCCTTCTTGTCGTCCTCGTCGGCGTCGTCGTCGTGCTTGTCCCCGCCGCGGCCGCCGAGGTCCTCCGTGGCGCCGGGCAAGGGCAAGTGCAAGGCCCCCCCTTTCCGGGGGCACCCTCTGCGTGCAGACACCGGGCCCCCGGATCACGCGGCGCGTGTGTGTGTGTGTGTGTGTGTGTGTGTGTGTGTGTGTGTGTCTTAGTTGCCTCGATGCGCCCGTCTTGAAACGCAGCACGCACCGTGCTCAAGACGTCCGCGTCAACACGTGGCGTGCTGGCTGCGCGTTTTGGGCCGCGTTTTGGCGCACGTATCGCGTCGGGTCTGCGTCTTCAGCCTACGTGCTGAGCTCCGTATCCATACGATACGTGTTGCGTGCTGCGTATCGGGGCAGCTGATGTGTGTGTGTGTGTCTGTGTGTGTGTGTGTTTGTGGTTGTTTGGGTGTTCACGGAGTGCCGTTGACGGCAACACCACATCGCTCACCCTCCGGATCTTCGCCTCTGGCTCCTGTCCACGGCGTTCCTTTTCCTGTGCAAGCTCCTCGGCACCGGCTGTACCCCGGGCCCCGCCCTCTCCGGCCGCCTGAGACCCCGCCCGCCTGTGCCCTGTCTCCCGCCTAGCTTTTAGCGGAAGAGGTTCGCTCTCACCCCGCCGACCAAAAAGTGTGTTTGTGGTTGCTGCTGCTGCTGTTGCTCCCTGCCGTCGTTTCCCCCCGTAGGGACCGACCAGGCCCCAGCGGCTCTCTGCGAGGGTGCTGGCTGGTCTGCGGCCCTCTTGTCTCGAGGGAGACAAGGCGATATGATCACAAGCTTTTTGAGGTCCGCGCGGATCTACCGGATCTGCGCTGGCGCCCCCTGGTGGCGCCTCCGGCGCCGCCCCTGGGGCGCTCCGCGCGCCAGGGAGGGGACTAGTCTTTGATAGATCATTTTGTTCATGTGATGTCCTGTTCTTGTGACGTCTTGCTCTTGGATCGATCTTCTGCCGTCTGACCAGGTCGCGTAGTTCCACCTCGCCCCACTTCGGTCGGTCAGACTCACACCCACGGCACCTTGTTCCTCTTTTGGAAATTGTGTGTGTGTGTGTGTGTGTGCCTTCATGGCCTTCAGTTAGCCTGCTTGCGCATGGCAATGTGCATGACGCCTCTTCTGCTCTGGGTTCGTGCCGCTCGCCCATGCTTGGTCCCATCCCCCAGGTACCACAGCTTAGGGTTGAGCGAGTTCGGCTTACGCTCGAGTCCAACTCAGCTTGCTCGCCCTGGCTGCGGAGCATGGGCAAACCTCTCAGTGTGCGTGCCTTCCTGGCCAGGCCACGAGGGCGTACACGTACACCGACCCTCGGCTCGGGCCCAGACCTCCAACGCCTTGAGAAGGCCAAGGCAGAGGTTCCCCGGCCTCTTCGGCCGCTGGGGCCGCTTCTGGGCCCAGGGGCCATGAAGGAACGACCGGGGATGGAAAGCTGGCCCCGTGCAGGGAATGGGACGACCTCTGCTTGTCGGGGCCCTCTGGGGAGACCTCCTGGAGGGGCCCTGGAGCGCCTTGGACGCCTCTCGGGGGAGTTCGCGACGCCCCGTGAGCAGTCGGACCCCCCTGGAGGCCGCCTGGAAAGTGATTCGCGACTGCCTTGGGGCGCCGTGACGCCCGTCGGACCTCTGGGCATGAACCTTTGGGTTAAGTCGGGCCTGCCCCTCTGCAGGAGGAATATTCAAACATAGTAGAAAAATAGTATGGGGTCGATTTGTGTTTGCGTTTTTCTGTTGTAAATTAATGTGTTGTTTTATGTTTGCTTAATAAACGATGTTACATATGCATACATATATATATATATATATATATGTATACACATATATTTATATATACACATATATAGATGAAAAGTAATTCGAACATACGTAAAATAAACAAAGCATATGGGTTTGGATTTTTTGTTTTTTTAATTACTATTTTCGATGTTTCGTCCAAAATCCCTGTCTAAGGGGACAGGCTCGACCAAACCTGTGGGTTCGGGGCGCGCGCGCATGCCTTCCCGGCCATGCAGGGAGGGCGTACACACTCCGAGCCTGGGCCCAGGACCAGCCCGGGCCAGGAAGATTGGCCTCTTCGCCCTCCTTGCCCTCCTCCGCCCCCTCCTCGCCCTCCCCCTCCCTCCCCCTCCTCGCCCTTCTCGCCCCGCTCCTCGCCCTTCTCCCCTCGGCCTCCTCGCCCTCCTCGCCCTCCTCCTCGCCCTCCTCCGCGCCCTCCTCCTCGCCGTCCTTCTCGCCCTCCCCCTCCCCCCGCCTCCTCGCCCTCTGGGAATCCAGGACTCCCGGCGGACGAAGGCTCCTGTTGGACGCGTTTTGGGACGCTCAGAGCGTTCCGGAACGCTCTGAGAAGGCCGCGGCGCCCCAGACATCATCCAGAGAAGCGCCGGATCTCAGAGTTTGTTCGATTTATCTTCGCCCGATCTTACCCTCGTCCCAGCTTCGTCGTATCCTGGGCCCAGGTCCAGCTCGGCCAGGTCGAGAAAGCAGGAGGGGAACAGAACACGCAGAGCTCCAAGGAGTCGCCGACTCCGAGGAAAAAGTGGAACATACAGTCGGCCCGGATTAGTAGGTCGACCCTGCCAGTTCAAGGGTACCCTTGTGTCCTGTGCCTCGCGACACGTGCCTTCTTACACGCCTATGGCGATGTGGCCCTCGGAAGGGTCTTGTGTCCTCTCGCGTGTCCTCTCCAATCAAGCCCGACTGTATGGGAAGTGGAGGGGGGACGAGCGTCCATGGAATATGCGGGGTGCTGGGATCTGTGTCTCCCTGTTCGTGTGTCCCGGGGCCCCTTCGGGGAGAGCAGCAGAAGGCCTCAGTGCCTCCGCGGCACCACTCATGGGGCGTCAACACTGCGAATCAACACGATTGTGGCTCCCTGACATTTCGATATCATGCCAAAAGACCAAGTCTGGGCCGTTCACCGTGTGAACCTAGAGGGAGGAAGAGGTGGAGGTTGAGGGGGAGGAGGAGGAGGACGAGAAACCCTAGACTCATCAACGATATTGCAATAATTCCTCCCTCCACGCTCCCAGGACACCATTCCTGGAACTCCAACACCGCGAACCAACGTGATTGTTAAGCCCTGACATTCCAGCATCATGCAAATACGCAATATCTGGGACGTTAACCATGGGAATCCTTGAAACCGCTTCGAACTCTCGAGACGAATGTGCGCGGCGCTAGGGCGGGAGCCACATTCTGAACAGGAGCCACCCTCCATCCGTGACACTCTTGCAACCACCCTCCATCCGTGACACTCTTGCAAAGCTTTACGACGAATGTGCGTGGCGCCCAGGCGAGAGCCACAGCTTGAAAACGGGCCAACGTCCATCCGTCAAGCTATTGCAATCCTTCAGTTTTTCAGGATCATGAGTGGTGGGGGAGTCTCAGACGAAACGCCCAGTCCGTCCTTTCTATGGCTTTCGCGGCGCGACACGGAGGAGTTGTCTGTAAGGAGAAGGGATGAAGGAAGAGGAGGTGGTGGAGCAGGAGAAGGATGAGGAGGGAGGAAGTGGAGGTGGAGGTGGAGGGGTGGGAGAAGGACCAGTGCAAATCCAATGCTCATCAACGACATTGCCATACTTCCTCCCTCCAAGCTCCCTCTTCATAGGCCCCTACACAGAGCCATTTTCACTGAGGGAAGTGCCCTGTTGGAAAACGTTTGAACATCCAGAATTGTGTCAGAACGCCATTTCTGGGACACCAATACCACGACTCACCGTTACTGTTGCGTCTTGGCGATCCCGAATCGTCCCAGGACGCCATTCCTGGAACTCCTAGGCCGCGAACCAGTGTGATTGTCGCGCCCTGACATTCCAGCATCATGCCAATCTGCATTTTCTCGGATAGTAACCAATGGCATCCATTACTGCTTCGAGTCCTTAAGACGATTGTGCACCTCGCTAGGACGAGAGCCACATTGTGAATAGGAGCCACTCTCCATCATTGACGCTGTTGCAAACATTTAAAACGAATGTGCTCGGCGCCCAGGCGAGAGCCACGTTTTGAAAACGGGCCACCCTGCATCAGAGAAGCTCTTGCAATCCTTCATTTTCAGGATCATGAGTGGTGAGGAGGTCTCAGACGAAACGCCCAGCCCGCCCTTTCTATGGGTTTCGGGGCGCGACACGGAGGAGTTGTCTGTAAGGAGAAGGGATGAAGGAAGAGGAGGTGGTGGAGCAGGAGAAGGATGAGCAGGGAGGACGAAGTGGAGGTGGAAGGGGGGGAGGAGGAGGACCAGTGTAAACCCACGACTCATCAACGATATTACCATACTTCCTCCCTCCAAGCTCCCTCTTCCTAGGCTTCTACACAGAGCCATTTTCACTGAGGGAAGTGCCCCGTTGGAAAAAAACGTTTGAACATCCAGAATTGTGCCAGAACGCCATTTCTGGGACACCAATGCCGCGAATCACCGTTACTGCTGCGTCTTGGCAATCCCGAATCGTCCCAGCACACTGTTCCTGGAACTCCTATGCCGCGAACCAGTGTGATTGTTGCGCCCTGACATTCCAGCATCATGCCAATATGCATTTTCTCGGAGAGTAACCAAGGGCATCCTTGAAACTGCTTCGAGCCCTTCAGACGATTGTGCGCCTCGCTAGGACGAGAGCCACATTGTGAACAGGAGCCACTCTCCATCATTGACGCTGTTGCAAACATTTAAAACGAATGTGCTCGGCGCCCAGGCGAGAGCCACGTTTTGAAAACGGGCCACCCTGCATCAGTGAAATTTTTGCAATCCTTCATTTTCAGGATCATGAGTGGTGAGGAGGTCTCAGACGAAACGCCCAGCCCGCCCTTTCTATGGGTTTCGGGGCGCGGCACGGAGGACTTAGGAAAAGGAATGGATGAGGTGGAGGAGGAGGCGGAAGAGGGAGGAGGAGGAGGAGGAGGAGGAGGAGGAGGAGGAGGAGGAGGAGGAAGAAGAGGAAAAGAACGAGCCTTCCGTCCCTGGGCCTAGGACCGGCCGGCTGGCCGGGGCCGGCGGGCAGCTGGCGCCCTCCGCGCGAGGGCAAGGGCAAGGGCAACAAGGGCAAGGGGCCCCTCGCCGCCGCCTACTGCTCCCCCTCGGGCCAGCCACAACCGTCGCCAAGCTGGCGTTGAGAGAGTTTGAGCGGGCTGGAGCTTCCTCGGCGGCACAGCGTCATGAAGCGATCTCGACGGAATATTTTTGGTTGGTCTCGGCCTCAGGGAGGGGCCCTTGCTGGGCTCCGGGCCTTCGAACAAATTGCACGGGATGACATATCTGTCCCTGGGAAGGGGTCGAGATCTGACTGCGTGAACAAATCATGACGTTGGGGTTCTGTGGGGGACCCGCGGTCCGAAACCTTTTGGTGGCCCATGGGCTTCGACCCCCCCGAGAGATCGTCGATAAGATTGGTTTCCCCAGGTGGGTAACGGGCACATTTCCCGTAGTTGTGGCTGGTCGTCGCCCTCCCTGCTGGGCCGAGCTTTGCGACGACGTCGTCGCCGCCGCCGCCGATGCCGTCGCCGTTGCCGTTGCCCGCCCCGGACTTCGGAGAGATGGCCTTCTTCACTCCCAGTGCTGTTTTCTTCCTGCTGGCCCGGGGCGGCCGCTTTTGCCCCCCGCGGGCCATGGAAAACTGACCCGGGGCAAGGAACCTCGACTACACGTACAGTCGGGGCCATAATGTTCTCGACAGGAAATCGAAGGTTAGCTTGTGGAAAAAAGGGGCCTCGTTCCTTATTTAGGGTTCCTTAGGTCAACGCCCCGACTGAACACGTAAGAGCGACCCTTCGCCAGAGTGACCTTTGGTGCGGGCTCACCGGGGTCCCCCCGATCGCTGGGTGCGATGCGACCGTGGCTGCCTGCGCGCTTGGATGTGATCGCCCTGCGCCCCCTTCATCCGCGCATTGAACTTGGCATCGCTCGGACGTGTGCATGTTTCCTTCGGCGAGGACCATCGAGGAGCATCCCTGATCACTTGGCGAAAAAAACACGCGCGAAACCAGCAAAAAAGCACAGGTATTGGATTTCCAAACGATGGCGAGCAGAGGTCGCTCTTGCCCAGGGCCGCTCTTCGCGTGCCCGGTATAGGTTCGCGCCGTGTCGACCAGCGGCCCCGCTGCCCGTGTTGCATGCTGAGCGCCGCCGGCGACCCGGATTCGGTCGATGTTGAACGGCATGACGTCTCGGAAACCGCCGATCGTTCAAGGCCTTAGTTGCCTCGTTACGCGCGTTTTGAAACGCAACGCGTCCCGTGTTCAAGACGTCCGTGCCAATACGTTGCGTGTTTGTTCCACGCATTGGACCGCGGTTTGGCGAATGCATCGCGTCGGACCTACGTTTTCGGCGTACGCGTTGAGCTCCGTATCGATGCGATGCGTGTTGCGTTCTGCGCATCGGGGCAGCTAAGTTCAAGAGGGGAAGAAACACACAGACACAATTCATCGTGGATTCCCAGGAAAAAATCGGAAAATATGGGAAGTGGGGGGGAAGACAGAAACCCAGACAATATGTCAAAACTTGGGGAATCCTGTTATCTGTGTCCATTTATCTGTGTGTCCCAGGGCCCCTTCGGCAGCCGAGGGCGGCCCCGTGGGGGCCCGCGGCCTGGGGCCGCGCCTTCCCTCCCGGGCCGAGCTCTGCGACGACGTCGCCGCCGCCGCCTCCATCGCCGTCGCCGTCTTCGTCGTGGTGGTACTGGTCGTCGTCGTCGTCGTCGTCGTCGTCGTCGTCGTCGTCCGCCGCCGTCTCCATCGCTGTCGCCGTCTTCGTCGTGGTGGTACTGGTCGTCGTCGTCGTCGTCGTCGTCGTCGTTGTTGTTGTTGTTGTTGTTGTTGTTGTTGTTGTTGTTGGTGGTGTTGGTGGTGTTGGTGTTGGTGTTGGTGTTGGTGTTGTTGGTGTTGGTGTTGGTGTTGTTGCTGTTGTTGCTGTTGTTGTTAGTGTTGTTATTGTAGTCGTCATTGTTATTGTCGTCGTCTTTGTCGTCGTCGATGGAGGAGGAGGAGTTGGAGGAGGAGGAGTCGGAGATGGAGTATGAGTTGGAGCAGTGGTGGGAGTAGGAGTGGGACTTAGGGACTTAGGGGGCTTACGCAGCGGCGTATCGCATCCAGCGACAGGGAGGCGTACCCCCCGACTTGCCGCCAGGCTACCTCCGAAGAGGTGTGCGCGCCAGAGACGGCCCCCGACCCCGCTTGCTGGAGTTGCAGCACCAGCCACAGCCACAGCTAGGCAGAGTCGGGTTCCGCCCCTGGCGGGGGCTTTCGGGAGGTACCACCCCCCCGAGCCGCCCCGCGCACGCGGATCAGCTCCTCCCGAGCCTCCTTGTCGTTCGGCGCCGCCAGCGTCTGCTTGGCCACCGGGCCCATGAGATGGTCGAACTTCTTCAGCGCCTCCGCATCGACGCCCGCGCCCAGCAGGCCCTCTACGAAGGCCGACTTGAGGCTCTCCACCATCGCCTTATCAACATGCCCGTCGTCGGCGCCCTCTCCAAGGCTGATCTGGCTGCTCTCATCCAGCGCCGCCTCCTTCTTCTTGTATTTCTTATCCTTCTTCGCCTTCGTCTTGCCTGCCACTGTGACCTGCTGCCCAGGCTGAGCCCCCACCGCATCCATGTAGTCTTCCCCGTCGCTGAGGTCCGTCCAACACTTGCGCACCGAATCCTTGCTGCTCACCTCCAGTACCGCATGCACGGCCTTCTCGTTGTACTTCTCCACCGCTTAAGCTGCACCACCGCCGCAGGGTACTCCATCTTGCTGTCCAGGAGCTTCCGCCTTGCTCCCAGCCAGCCCGAGAGAGGACTCACGTGCTCCTTCACCTCCGCTTCCTGCTTGATCAGCTTCTCCGAGATGGTCGTCTTGTCCTTCACATAGTGCGGCACCACCGCTGGTTGCACCCAAGGTTTGCGGATCCAATCCATCATCTTGCCCTCGCCGAAATGCGTCGGTGTCACTTGCTTCACCTGCTTCCACGGTCCCGAAAACAATGGTGTCGCCGACCCCGCCGATGCCCTTGATCACCCCGTCCTTGGCATCCGCTACGCAGCTGGCGTTGTGTTCGCCGTCGTCGAGGGCGTCCCCGATGTAGCGGTGTTGACCTCGACCCAGACCTTGTGCCCCAACCGCAGGATCGGGACCCTCTATGGCGGCTCTGAAGGAGCCGCCGCCATGGATGACAGAGTCGATCCTCCTGCCGCTGGCCTCCTCCGGCGCCTCCGCGAAGCGCCCCACGGACTCTCCCGGGACGTCGCCGACGCCCTGCTTCTCGGCCCGCACTGCGAGCTTCCTGCCGTCGCCGGCTCGGGGCGGCTGCTCCCCTGTCGAGTGCGCCGCCCTCAAGGGCCCGACCTCGGGCCCGACAGGGGCTGGCAGGAGTAGGAGTCGGAGGAGGCGGAGGAGGAGCAGGAGGAGGAGGAGCAGGAGGAGGAGGAGGAGGAGCAGGAGCAGGAGGAGCAGGAGGAGGAGGAGGAGGAGGAGGAGGAGGAGGAGGAGAAGCAGGAGGAGGAGGAGAAGCTCAAGACGCCCAAGCAGGGAGAGGAGTTGGCGGTGGCCGGCAGTGGACCTCTCTGTCTGGCTTGCTGTTGCGCAGAAGTATGTGGAGCAGTGGCGGCTGGCGCACGGTGGGCCCCACAGGGATGAACGCAGCGTGCGGCTCGCTGCTCGATGGGTGGGCGGCCCGCCCGTTGGGGTCCGCCCGACCGACCTGTCCGCCCGATTGTTGATGTCCTAGACGATGGTGTTCCACGCCTTACTGTCCTGCCCGACCCGCTCGCCCGCCCGGCCCGCCCGCTGGGGCCCGCCCGCTGGGGCCCGCCTGCCCGACCCAGCCCGCCCGCTGGGATCCGTTCGCACAGCCCGCGGGCGCGCATTGCCCTGCCATCGTTGTTGTCGGTGTCGTCGCAGTCGCCGTCCTGGGTGTCGCCGTGTTCGCGTCGTCGTCGTCGTCCGTGTCGTCGTTGTTTTCCTCGTTGCCGCCGTCGTCGTCGTCGTCGTCGTCGTCGTCGTCGTCGTCGTCGTCGTCGTCGTCGTCGTCGACTGCTTCGGAGCAGCTCGGACCACCTTACCCAAACTTCTTCACCGCTATCCTGCGCGGACTAGGCAAAGCAGATCTAGACCAGCCTCGGCGCCGAGTGAGGATTTCTGGGCCAACACCATGCTGAAATCAATGACGGTGCGGGGGATAGCGGAAGTACTCATGCATTGCAAGGTGAAGTCCATCAAGCAGCGCGATAGCAAAGCAAGCGCACAGAAGATCAGCTCTGCGATCAAAGCAGCCTGCTCCGAGCTCGAGGACGCGGCGCTCCGCGGCCTGCGCAAGCACGGGGCGGCTTCCAGATTGGGGCACCGCTCCTCGGTGCCTGGTGGAGCAGCTGGCATGGGAGCTGGTCGAGGAGCTGGAGGGCAGCGGCAAGAGCAGGGGCAAACCCCGGGGGGGGGCACAGGGCAAAGACCGCCGACAGAACCACGGCGGGATCAGGAGGCCAAGGGCAACCAGCACGCAGAGAGCGACGCCCGCACAGCAGTCCGCGCGACTCCTGGTGCCCGTGCAAGCTGGCCCTGTGGCGGTGGAGGCCGCCCTTCGGCGAGCTGCTCTCCTCGGCCAGCTGCGCTGCCCTCGTGTCCCGGCCGTGCCTCTGCCCGGCGCGCGGAGGCCGACCGTGGGAAGGGGAATGGCGTGTCTTGGCATCGCTCGGGCGGTGTGGACTTCTCCTCGGCGGGGGCCGTTGAGGAGGAGGAGGAGGAGGAGGAGGAGGAGGAGGAGGAGAAGAAGGAGGAGCAGGAGGAGGAGGAGGAGGAGGAGGAGGAGGAGGTGGAGGAGGAGAAGGTGCAGGAGGAGGAGGAGGAGGAGGAGGAGGAGGAGGAGGAGGAGGAGGAGGAGGTGGTGGAGGAGGAGGAGGAGGAGGAGGAGGATCGCCTGGCGAAGCATGCACGCACGAGAGCTAAACCTTCACGGGGAGTGCACGTCCGAGCGATGGCAGGATGGTGTGTGCGGTGGTGGTGTTTTGCGGACGTGGGAGTGGGGGCGGGGTGGAGCAAAACAGGGCTCCACAACATCTCTGGTTGTAGTTGGTGCTGCTAGTTACCCCTGCTGTCCAGGGGAGTGTCTGGCGGCCCCAGGGGCCAGCCGGGTGGCCCGAGGGAGAAACCCTCCCAGCGCGCCCTTTGCAATAATGCCCTGTACAGGCACTCAGAGCACGCCCCACTCCGTCCCCGAATTTTCTGTTCGGCGAAGGCCGATCAAGATTCAACGCGATGCGAGGCAGTGACCATCGGACACCGCTCCTAGAGCTGTTGAGTTTAGTTGGGCCGTCGTCGTCGTCGTCGTCGTCGCAGCTGCCGTGGTCGCCGACGATGGCGACGAGGGAGGAGGGACAGCGGAGGAGGTGGAGACAGGATGGAGGACTTAGAGGGACAAGGGATGGCGAAGGATGTAGCGATGCGTTGCTTTTTTTAAAGCCTGGCTGCTGCCCTCAGGAAGTGGTTGAACACACATCGTCGATTGGGGTATGTGATAAGGGACCTTTGACGTCGTATCTTTCGTAGTCGTGATCAGTGCCATATGAGGGTCTCTTTTACCAGATGCGCCAACGATCTCGCTCGACAACCTGAGGCTGCAACGTGCATGATCATTTCAGGTCCGCCACGCTCGCTGCTCTCCTCGCAGCACCGTCTTCCTGAAAAGCAGACACGGGCCGCAGAACCAAAAAAGCGATCACAGTCAAAAACCCTAATAAGGACGCGCGACTTTGCTCAGGGTACCCTTGCATCCTTGCTATTCCTTGCGCTTGCGTCCTTGAGGTTTTCGTCGTCCGCCGCCCCAAACATCCCGACTTCGGCTTCCATGGGTCTTGCGTCCTTACCGCGCGTCCTTATTTCAGGAGGGGAAAAGACACACCGACACAATTAATCGTCGATCCCCCAGAAAATATGGGAACAGATGGGAAGTGGGGGGGAAGACAAAACCCCAGAAAATACAGGAAAATATGGGGAGTCCTGTTACTTGTGCGTGTTTATTTGTGTGTCCCAGGGCCCCTTCATTATTGGGGTTTTTGACCGCAGTCGTCGCCCCCGCCGCACGCGCGGCGCCTGAGCGCCGCCCGACGCCAGCGTTCGCCCGAGCCGCCGCGCCCGCCCGCACTTGTGGTCGGATGCGGCCAGGCGCGCCGCACCTCGAGGCGCCCGCCCGGCCCGCCCGCAGGCAACTCGGGTCCGCACGCCCGGCCCGAGTCTCGCCCACCATTTTTCCCGCTCGGGGAGGAGGAGGACGAGGAGGAGGAGGAGGAGGAGGAGGAGGAGGAGGGCGGAGGAGGAGGAGGAGGGCGGAGGAGGAGGAGGAGGGCGGGTAGGAGAGGAGGAGGAGGAGGGCGGAGGAGGAGGAGGAGGAGGAGAGAGGAGGAGGAGGAGGAGGAGGAGGAGGAGGAGGAGGAGGAGGAGGAGGAGGAGGAGAGGAGGAGGAGGAGGAGGAGGAGGAGGAGGAGGAGGAGAGGAGGAGGAGGGGGAGGAGGGGGAGGAGGAGGAGGAGGAGGGGCTCACCGCTCCGTCAGGATCTGCCCGCCCGGGCCCGCCTCGCCCACCCCAGATCGGCGGTCTCGCGCGCAGGGGCTCGGCATTCTCAGTGTGCGCGGGGGACCTTGGAAGCCAAGGAGGAGCACAGGTAAAACGACGCGAAGATCGGGACAAAATTGGATCGGGATAACTCGAAATCTCTGAGAATCGGCGGGTTTGGAGGATGTATTGGGCGCCGCGGCCGCTCCAGAGCGTTCCGGAACGCTCTGAGAGCGCTCCGGAACGCTCTGGAGCGATTTATCCCGATCCTAGCCCTGTTTTAACAGGTGCTGCATAATCCTTTGTCTTCGATCCTCGTTCCCTTCCTCCCCGTGTCCCTTCTCCCACTTGTCCGGGAAAAGGGTTCTTCCTCCGCACTTTTCTTTTAGGCGGCTGAAGGGCGCACGCGCACCAGCATCGTTGGCCTTCCCTCCTCTTCCTGCTCCAGCCTCCTCCTCCTTCCTTCTCTTCTTCCTCCCCCTCCTCCTCTTCTTTCTCCTCCTCATTGTTTAAATGTTTTTCTTCTCCACCTCTTCCTCCTTTTCCTCTTCTTTTTTATTTTTGCTCCTCCTCCTCCTCCTTCCTCCTCCTCCTCCTTCCCCCGTTCCTCCCCTCCTGCCCGTCCTGGCCACGCTCCCTCCGCCCTCTGCGCCCATCTCTCCGCGAGAGGCAAGACCTGCGCGAGCTGCCGACCATAGGAGACACCGTTTTGCGATGCTGCAGTGCTTCTTGTGGCCCCACGGGGGCGTTGTCGGTGCAAGTCTCGCCTCCTAGGAGGGGAGGGGAGGGGAGGGAGGGGGAGGGGGAGGGGAGGGGAGGGGAGGGGAGGGGATGGGGAGGGGAGGGGAGGGTTGAGGGGAGGGGGAGGGGAGGGGAGGGAGGGAGGGGAGGGGAGGGAAGTTGAGGAGAGGGGAGGGGAGGAGAGTTGAGATAACTAGGGGAGGGTGTATATCATGCCAGGGGCAATGACATCTCCCCAGATTTCATGGCGCCTCTTCTCATTCCATCACGTCCCTGGGACCCCCTTGGGCCGCGCATGTGCCGCCAGCCATGATCTGCGCCCCCCCTCTTGGACGCCCCCCTCTTGGCCGCCCCCGAGGAAAGGAGGGTGTCAGCAGGTACAGCGCGAGCAGATTTTGGGAGAAGCTGTGCTGCGTGATTGCACGTGTGCCCGTGTGAGGCCGAGGCGAACGGCATTCACTAAGAAGCTCTCCAGTCTTTAACGACATGGAACTGAAGGAGGTGCCCAAGGTCGGGGCTAGTCGTCGTCGTCGTCGTCGTCGTCGTCGTCGGAGTCGTCGTCGTCGTCGTCGTCGTCGTCGTCGTCGGTCGAGGCTCGAGGATGGAGGATCCTGAGGTCAGAGGGTTTTTAACGTGTTGAGTATCTGGGGGCCTCATCGGGCCTCTGGAGACCTCCAGAGCGCGAGCCTGAGTGTGTAACAAGTGTGTGCGACGTGAATGTCTACCGCGTGAGCAACTCTTGGATGTCTTTCATCTTGCTCCTATTCCTCTGCGAAACCATAGGCCCAATTTCGATGTGCCAGCGGTTGCTATGCTCGGCGGCGCCGCAGCAGGTGCGGAATACGGTTTCGACATTCGCCGGCGAGGTCGATGCGCGATGTGTGCACTCGAGAGGACAGTGATTTTCATATCCTGCATGCTCTAGAGTGCAGGGGTGCTCCCCTACTTTATTATTCCCCCGCTGTGATACAAGATACCAAGTTGGTTTCGCTTGGCGCGGGCCCCAGAACGCCAGGAACCCTTCATTGTCAGGCTGCAGGTGCCCCGGGCACCTTTCATTGCAAGGTGTCGGGTTTCGCTGACAATCGCTCTCACTTCTCTCTCTCTCTCTCTTTCTTTCCCTTTCGTGCTATCCTCTCTCTCTCTCTCTTTTTCCCTTCTCGTGCTATCCTCTCTCTCTCTCTCGTTTCACATGTCTCTCTGTCGTTTCACTGGTGCCATCGTCTCCATCTCTCTCTCTCTCTCTCTCCTTCACTCTCTCTCTCTCTCTCTCCGTAACTCTCTCGATGCCTCCGCCTCTCTCGCTCGTTGTCTCCCTCTCTCTCCATGGGGATATAGGTGAGAGAGCATTGGTGAGACGCCACGTGGCGCACGAGAGGGCATTGGTGAGACGCCACGTAGTAACGGGGTGCACCACAAGAACGCGGACGACGAAATCACTCTCTCTCTCTCTCCTCCTCCCTTTTTTGTTATTTGTTTGTATCTCTTCCTCTCTCTCTATCTCCCTCCCTCCCCATCTCCCGGATGAATTACTATATCTCGTTTTTTTATGTCCTCAATCTCCCTCAGAGTTTATGCAGTTTTTTGTCGTTCTCTCTCTCTCTCTTTCTTTATGTGTTTCTCACTGGGCGGGAGAGGACGCGTCTAATTTGCCGATGGCTCTCTATTCAAACATAACGTGACAGGGGCGCTGTCGTGAGAGATCGTTTTTTGTTTTAAAAAAACGTCATTGTTAAGAATGAGCTCGATGGCGATCTTCGAGCTTTCTACAACGAATGGATGGCTCGATGCGCTGACTTGCATGCTGGCTCCGACTCACCACCAAAAGTAGCAGCAGCCATTCGCGATAATTTCTATGAGCAGCTGAATCTGGACCCGAAGATGAAGTTGGCCGTGGCGCTGGGCAGCGGCCGACTAGGACCAGATGTCAAAACGCACGAGTGGCTACTTTGGAAAGTAAAGAATTTTAGAGTGGAACGAATGCAATCTCGATTGCCGGAAAGGGGGCTCTCCGCAAGAGGGGCGAGTTAGAGGGCGAATCTGCAGATGCTGGCCAGTTGTCCCAGGGGGATCATGCGGGGGTCCCGCGGGCGTGATGAAAGACGGGCGATCGAAGAAATGCGCCCCATGCAGATATCTGCTGAAGGGTGGTTCTGCAAGCCAGAGCACGGCTCCTGCGACCCCGCCGGTTGAGCCAGCTGGGAGGCCCAAGTCGGAAAAGGAAGATTAGGACAATTCAAACATGAGGGCGCTAAAGACAGACCGTCTAAGCCATGGCCCACAGGCGGCAGGGGCTCGTCTAGGGGCCTTACCGATGAACGACATAAGAGAATTGTTTGCCGCGCCTTCTCGAGAGGCAAGTGCCGCGGCCAACGGAATGATCTTCCTTGTTGCCGCCAACATAGGAAACTGCCTTCCGAGGGAGTATCGCGAAGGGGCACGCGGGAACAAGCCGCGCAGAAAGCAGGGGGGGTGATAATTGAGCGCGCGCAGAAACAGGTTGAATCTGCAGCGGTTTACGCGGCCAAGAAATTTTCCGCAGTTGGTTCTGAGGCCGGCAGCGAGAAGGCACGCAGCCCTGCGGCGCCTCAGCTGCTGGGGGCGGGCGCCCACGGACCAGGGCGCGCGCGGGGGCGACCTGGCGCCGTTGGCAGCCGTGTCGGGTGGATTGCGCGAGGGACGGTCTTTCTTCCAGCCTCAATGCCAAGCAGTTTAACGGTTCACTGACGAAACGTGAGTTTTCATGCGATCCTGGCGTGATTACATTGAATATCTCGCACGAGTTTCGGGCGTATTTCGAAGAGGATGAGTCGTGGATGGACGGATAGGAACAGGTTTATTTCTTTCCACGATCGCTAACACCTGGCGCGCAACAAACATCCATCCCCGGCGTGCCCCCCGCTGGCGCCGCGCGCGCCCTAAGTCGGAATGGCGCGGCAATGAGGGGGGCCGCAGATAAACTGCGGTCGGAGCGCGTAGGTTTCAACCTGCCAGTTTTCTCGCACTCGGCCATTTCGGGGGAGATCGACCCAAGGGCCTTTTCGCCGCAGCGGGATGGCACTGAAGAGGCCGAATATGAGACGTCGGGAACCCACCGCCCTGTCGATCGGAGGACAGAGCACAGCCCGGAGTCTTGGGGCGCCAACTGTCTTGTGGGAGAACCGGGGAACCGGGCGGAATCGGTCGAACGCGACTTTCGCCATCGGTGTAAGGCGAACAAGGGATGTATTTCCGTTCCCGGCAACAGTGGGGGGAAGCTGACTGGTTGGCCGTGCTATCGGAGATCCGGCGCGGTTCCGGATAAGGCCACTAATGATGACTTCGCGTGCGATTGGCCGCCTCGCCAGCCGTGGCAGCGCGAGACTCAATGCGACGGGCAGACTGTAACCGCCCCCATGAATGTGGAAGAACTAACAAACAATCGCCCGTGCAGTAAGACAAGTTGTTGGCCCGGGGAGTCGCGTGATACGCGCGTCAGAGACGCGATTGGGGTTGAGTTGGGGGACATACATTGAACCGCTTATACACAGTTCCAGACAGCTAGATATAGAACGGTGAGAATCTCTGCGGACACACAGTTGCACGTCAGGGGATATTCTTTTCTGGGTCAAGGATGCTAAAATAAATGAGATCCAAACCGACAAAGTGGTTTCGTTTTACGCACGGAACGCCGGTTCACACCGCTGGGGCGATCATTGAAGGGCACATGCTTTTGCCGCCAAGGGGTCATGCATTGAGGAGTCAAGCAACGCCGCGAAGGAGTCTACAGTTGCGGGGCCCCGACTCCCGACCAGCACTTGGATTATTCGATGGCAAAATAAGTTTTTGCGGATGGAATCTGGTAGACGGCGGAGATTGTCTTCGCCGGTCCAGAATAAACGCGAAGGCAATGAGGAGTCCGGGCGCAAAGCTGCAGGCATGCCATCAAGACCCAGCGCAGATCGTGCTGCTGGAACTCCGCCTCTATGCATGGACTCCTGCTGCGCTTTGTGCGTCCGGCTCAGCTTGGGCGTCTGTGCGACGCATGGTTCCCCCGTGAGAGGCGATGGAAACGGTGGGCTCGAATGTGCTCGGACGCAGAGGGGGCGCGATGGGATTCGCGCGGCGCAGGCAAGATGGGCGCCGGGACTCCGACCACATCTGAACACATAAATGTTTGAACGCTCGCCCGATATTGACGCGCGTCTGGAGCGCGAACGCATCTGGGTATTTTTCTTTGAAGGGCATGTGCAGCCCTTTCAGCTTCGCCTTCGCGCCGCGAAGAATTCACCGAAGTCGGCCGCGGACAAATGCAGATGATATCTCCCCATCGCAGATGAGAAGATTTAGCCCGGAGGGCCTCGCCTCTTGACGAAGCGATTGGCCCGGGGGGATTGCGAGAAAGTTGCAGAGGAGGAAGACAGCGACAGGCTTCAGTCTCAGCAGGTCGCCAAAGGGGCGACATGGAAATAACCGGGGTGTCTCGGAAATTATATGAGGACTCGGTCATCGAGGCAGAATCTCTTGCGGAAGGTGACGCGGAGAGCATGCTGCGCAGAGCCGAACGGGCGACTGCAGATGCTATCCCCCGTCTAGCCGAAGCCCAGGCCGAACGCGGAGAGGGGAGCCGAGGCCAAGATGGCCGTGCCCCGACAGACAATTGTAGACGTCGAAGCCAAAGAACGGAAAGCAAGGACGCTGCCGCGAACATGGGCATGGGCATTGATTCACCGAAATTCCCCTCGAAGGCTGGGGCGCCCACCCAGGCGGCGCCCGCGATGGTGGTGTCAACGCCCCCCGCAAGTGTCGGGGGGCCGCCGCGACCCTCGCCGCCGGCAGGAATCCGACGGGACAGCGCTCCTAGCCCAATGCCTCTTGTCCCGGAGGTGGCTGCCGCTGGCTCAGCCGGCGGGGTTCCCCCCTCTCCGACTCGAGGCATTTCGGGAGGTGGCGCCGCGGTGCAGCCGCGGGCCAGACGGCCCCCGGCGCCCTGCAGTCTCGAATGAGCGAAATCGCCGATAGGTGAGATATATGGGAAAGGAACCCACGTCGCGCCTGATTGAATTCTTTCTGCCCTGGTGATCTTGGCGACCGTTTGGGGTTTTACAATTCCCTGGTGCCCTCTGGAACAACGTTGACCGTTCGCGCCTCGCGCGGTAGAATTCCTGCCTCGCGCAACAGAAGGCGAGGTCACGATGGTCGATCTTTTTCACGCGGATGACGGGAGTGATCGCGCAGGAGATCCAAGATTCGACCAATGGAAGGAATGGTCGGAACCTTACTCAGGCTTCGATTTATTTGAACGACTGCGCTCCATGCGATTACGATCTGACCTTAAAAGAAAAGGTAATGGCGGGTATTAATTTTATCCCCGGTGGGATGATCTTCCTTCCCTGCGCATCCCGTGATCCAGCGGATGTGGACATGGAGTTCTCAGGCTTGGTGGAGCGACTTGACGCTGTGATTGTGGGCGCAGGCATTGCAGTTGTAGGCTCGCCTGGCGACGCGCAGCCCGCCGTCGCACAGCCTGC